CCCCCCCCCCCCACCCAGTGGTACAACTAAGGAAAATCTAGGGGAGGAAACCCTTTATATTGATACTCAGAATTCATTTGATGATCAAGATAACCTAAACCTAGTAATATTTGATTGAAAAGGTGATATGTGGGAACTTTCAAATCTCTATATATAAAAGCCTAATATGCAAATTGTCCCCACGGGAGTTCAACCGGGAGACCGATCGCTTGCTATGGCATACACTGACCACCAGGGGGCAGCGCAGAAGGAAGGAAGGCCCTGGCCAGCAGTTGGCAGCTGGGAAAGGTAGGCCCCAGCCAGCAGCTGGCCACCAGGGAAGGGGGACCCCTGCCGGCAGCTGACAGTTGGGGAAAGTGGACCCCAGCTGGCAGCCAGGGAAGGGAGGCCCCAGCTGGCAGCTGAAAGGGCCCGATCCACCCTGATCTCTGTCCAGGCCTAGGGACCCTACCCGTGCACTAATTTCGTGCATCGGACCTCTAGTATTTAAATAAAAGTTTACCTCATGGTTGTTTTTTAAACCTTTTATTAGGGTGAATTTAAACATACGCAAAAGGAGAGAGATAGTATAATTGAACCCCATATTTTCATCACCCAGCTTCAACAATCATCAGCACATGGCCCAGTTTGTTTCACCTATTACCTACCCCATCTCCACCTAATTTCCTGATTTTTGATTCACATCCCAGGTATTACATTATTCTTCTGAAGAAAAAAAAGAAAGAAAAAGCAACACTAAAATATTTATAGCTAAAGGAATTCCCTTGGAAATGTTCTCACTGTGGAGTTCATAGTTAATTTCTAAGATGTATCAAATGTTTCATTGTTCCATTAAGATATTTTTGTTTTCCAGGGACCTAATTCCACACCCCCACCCCATCCCGGTTGAAGCCTGAGCATTTCCTCCCAGTTCTTGGTTTTAAAATGATGTTACTAAAATACTTTAGTAACTCTTTTCTTTTGACACAAACTCAAATATCAACCTTTGTGTTCCTTTAGTCTGGCAGTGGCACATTTATATCTATTGTTCTTGTAGTTTAAAAAATCCACTTTGAATTTGCTTCAAAGTTAAAAGCTTAGCAGCAGGAGATGGGAAGTTATACTAAGTCACACAGGCTGAAATCTGTGTCATATTTATTAGGACTGTTTCCCCATTGTTATTTTAAAACCCTCATTGCATGAAGAGAGCATCTTTGTTCAGTTAACTTGATTTTTTACATTTTGAACCCTGAAATTTAGCATTTTTTTTTCCATGTACACTTAAGAGTACCTTTGGAAAATGTTAACTGCATATCTTTCTTAATTTTGGCTGTTGTGGTTTTGAAATCTCTAGGATTTGGGGAGCCTGAAAATACTTTGTACAGATAACACTTTTTTAAAACAGAAGAAATGTACAAGCACTTAAATTCTGCACTTGAAGAGACAGATTCCTCTCCTAGATTTTGAGAGGTGAGAATTATAATGCAATAAAATTTATATAGTTCTGTTCTCCAGTTGTCTCATAGTGCTCTGCAACCTAAATCTTGAAGGTCATATGCCAACAAAAAGACCTGACAAACTAAAAAATTGGAGATATTAATGTTCTTAATAGCAAGCAATAAACAATTCTCTAAGCAGGTTTTGAGAAAATAAATTGAAAATTTCCTAGACTATGCAGGTAGTCTGTTTCCATTTGCAAGCAATCTTAAATTTAAATATTTTATATAGTTGCAGAAAAATATGATTAAGTAGATTAAACAGGTGAGAGTAGCCTGCATTTGGATTTTCATTTTACATAGCTGATTGGTTAATTCCCTTTTATTATGTGTTGATTGCCACGGATTCTGATTATAATAATTTTGGACCACTTGTCTGTAGGGAAGTCTTAAATTGAATATTTTTCAACTAGGAAACAAGTTTATCAGCATATTTGAGTTATATATTTATTGGCCTTCATAATACCATCCCGTTTAAGTTATCTAAAAAATTTTTGTGCTTGTTGTTAGAAATGTGTGACAAATATTGACATTTTCCTTTTTAGACCAAATTGTCTAGTTAAAATCTAAAACTAGTTGAGGGAAATACTTATTTTTATATTAGCCATTTTTTTATACAAAACTGTTAACATCTGACTGATGTATTTGAGTATTAGCCAAAACATTGCTAATCTTAATATTGGCAGTAATACAGTTCTTACTTTATCACTGACATTTACAGTAATCATTTAAACGTACTATATAATAAAAGCCTAATATGCTAAGTGTCCGGTCAACCAGTCAGTCATTCAACCCATCAAAGTGTAATATGCCAATGATATGCTAAGGCCACTCAACCTCTTGCTATGATGTGCACTGACCACCAGGGGGCAGACGCTCTGACCAGTTGGTTAACTTGCTGCTGGGATCCAGCCAATCAGGACTGAGTGAGATGGGCTGGACATGCCCTGGAGCCCTCCTGTGGTCCCTCCCTGGCTGGCCAACTTCCTGAGTTCCTCCCCAGCCCTGATCATACACTGGTGAGGTCCCTTGGCCTCTCGAAATCTGGGGCCCCTCGGGGGATGTCAGAGACCTGGTTTCAGCTCGATCCCACAGGCCAGCCCGAGGGACCCCACTGGTGCACAAATTCGTGCACCGGGCCTCTAGTCTAGTCTCTTTGGAGACCACAGTATGGTTGCCAGGTGAACCATATGTACAATGTACAAATAATCAGTTTTCAAAGACTTCAAGTAGTAATGCCTTTATTATTACTGTTAGTAATACCTTTTCTTTGATTTCAAAGGCACTCATAAATGCTATTCTTTTCATGGCACAGAATAAATATATATATAAACATTAGAAATTGAGCTGGTTAGTTTTTAAGCCTATATTACATCTTGGTGTTTACCTTTTTAATTAAATATTGGGTGTTTCTTAAACTGTGCAATATGTCATCTCAAAGTATGTGCTTAATATTACCACTTTTAAAATAATTATGCTGTTTGGATTCTGAATAAATAGTAGTTAAACATAAAGGAAAACATGAATAAAATAATTACTAATACTTATTCATGCATGCATTCTGAGCCATGCATTATTTAATTTAATCACTTAACAGTGTATGACAAGCATGTCAAACACAAAGGCTAACACGGGCCAAATGAGGCTTACGTTTATGTGGGCCATAAAAAAACAAAAGCTTCAATTTTCATAGAAACATAGGTTTATTTTGATAGAGATATGCTGAATACAAAGGGCTGAAATAAATGAGTAATCGTTAACATAAAATAATAGGACATTTTAATAAAAAGTAATATTTTTTTGAACATTAACTTACCAGACACTGAATAACTGTACAAATTAACAAGCGTAATGCAAATAAACCTATTTTTCTTGTTCTCCGAAAGCGATGTATTTCCAGTTGCGCACACCAAACAAGTTAGCCCAAGACTAATGACGTGACAATCGGCTGCTAAAATATTTGCTGCTAGCATTAGTGGAGAGAAATGGTGCGCCTGTGCGTAAGGAACATAAGGGAAATGAATGCAACACGATTATAGTAATCAGTCATTAGCGAACATTGTAGTTCGTTATTAACAGGATATTGTAAAAATTACGAAATTTTTATTAAAACATTTCTTACATACCGTTATATTGGCTTGGCCGCAAAAATATTTGTTGTGGGCCATGAGTTTGACATGCTTGGTGTATGAGCTCTGAGCACTGTTGCCTCCATTTTACAGATGAGAAACATAAGTACAGAGAGGTTACATGACTCACCCAAACTCATATGGACAGCATGTGGACAAAGCCTACTTTTGAACTCAGGCAGTCTAGTTTTTGAGTTTATACTCTTAACCATTATTTTATTTAAAAATTCACTTTAATCCACTTTTGTGGACAGAGGACTCATGTACTACATACAAATGTTGGTTATGTTTACTTCAATGAAAAAATGGGAAAACAACATGATCAAATTTTGAGTTGAGATTAGTAGTGCCTTTGTCACTTCCAGCTTTGTGGGATGGAGAGGCTGGGCTTGAAGTTGATCTTTCCTACTTACCACAAGGTAAGTGTTGCTCCTGGTACAATTAAGGTGCCTCATGACAAAAATGTCACCTTAACTCTGAGCATGTTTATTTTGGTACCATTTAACCAACATTTGTTTTGACGGTTCAGAGTTTTCAGTTAGGCCTTGCCTTCTACAAATTGGCTGCTTTTTTAGGTACTGGGAGGTTTTGTTTTATAAGGGTCTTCATAGTTGTGGTTAGTTACAGCCTTGTACAGTATTTAGGTGAAAGTGTAGATGAATTTGGGTGCATATGAACACTTATTTCAAACTGTTTCATTCTGCTTTCTGTAATACAGTGATTTACTAAATCTGAGTTGGAAAGTGTTACAAAATATTTATGACTATAGTCAACCTTTGATTACTTTGTATATTGCTGTAATTAAAAGTTGATTGTCATATTTGCAGAAAAAGGAGCATATTTTAAGTATTCAACTTAATAAATAACTAAATGATTGAATGCTCTTATAAGGAGGAATTTTTTCTTATTCTGGTTTGTTTACCATTTAATTTTATCATCATCTCCTACTACTTTAACTTCCAAAGCAATATTTAGATTAAAATAATTTTCATTTGGTTTTTGTAAGGTATGTGAATGGCCATGCAAAGAAGCATTATGAAGACGCACAAGTACCCTTAACCAACCATAAGAAATCAGAAAAACAAGATAAAGCTCAGCACACAGTGTGTATGGATTGTAGTAGCTACAGTACATACTGGTAAGTATTAATATTTTCCTGGAAATGATAATACTTTCTATGAGTGTGCAAGTGTTTTTTCATTTCCTCGCTCCCCTTCCTCACCAATCTCTAAGCCAGTTGCTACTGCCAGCACCTCCTTTTAGTTCTGTTAGGATTCACTCATGGGCCTGGAGCCATCAGGAAATGCCTATCCTATTCACTTAGCTTTTACTTTGCATTGTTCCTTTCAACTTCTGGACCCCTCTTCTTTCCTACCTTATGTTCTTGGCTATCCCAATAATCTTTAGGAAAATGAAAAGTGTCTATTTCTTTTTTTGTTCATTACAATTCTTTTTTTCCTTATTTTGTTTTTAATTGAAGAATATGATACAAAACCATGTTTCTACAGTGCAAGTTAACATTTTGTTACATAATCCCTAAAAATTTAATTTCTTTGTATGGAAAACTACTGTGACAGTGTCCCCTCTCCCAGAACAGCTCCATTCTCCTACTCCTCTGCAGATGAATGTCACAAATTTCATGTGTAGCTGTTTTTTAAAATATCAAATCCTTTAGGGGGAGATTTTCATGTAAGTGACAATAAAGTTAAGTGTCTCTTTTTAGAACTACTTAGATCTAGGTTATTTAGATTACAGTGATGTTTAACAATCCATATCCTTAGAAAGTCAGTGTATTTTGCAATTTTAACTTTGGTGTGAAACAAATTTCTTTCCTTGGCTAGAAAATTATGATGAACAATTCTTGCTTTAATCAGTTTACTCAATTCAAAAGGTTTTTGACATTGAAGTGGGAAAGGCCAGTTAAAGGATTTCTTTGGAAGGTTTTTGTGTGTGTTTGTTTTTCCCGTATAGCCCTTGACTGTCATATGAAGTGGTACTAGGCAGGGTGGAAATTTAAACTCCAAATATGTTGAATTCACACTTTCTACTGAAGTTGTGTGCTAATCCTTTCTACATCATCTTTAGTTGATAGTTGTATTGTAGAAAGGTGTCCATTAAAAGGAGGAAAAAAAGGTCAGTTGGCTTCCTAAGTCTTAAATTTTGACAGGCTTAACATTATTAACTTGTGACTGTTGAATATAACATCTTAAGGTTCAGTCATTCAGATCACTAATATATCAGTGACCCTTTGTGTGGAAGATGTCCAGCCACGGGAGAAAGAGAAGCTAGAGGTAGATGAAGATTTCAATAAAGATGAAAATCTCCCCAAGCTTTTCACACAAAGGCTAGTGCTCAGTTTATTATTTGCTCTTGTAAAACACTCCTTTCTATGAAAGTTAAGTATTAGCCAAGCTGTTGAAGTGTTTTCTTTATTTTTTCCCCAGAAAACTTACATACTAGAATGATGTAGCTACCTAATTGATAGAACCATGCGTTTCTATAGGGTTGTAAGACAGCAGAAAATAAGATCATTCTTGAGGTATCTATCTCACATTCATTGTTGTTGGTCATGTCAACCTACATGTACCAGATGTTAAAACATTCATTCATCTTGATTTTTAGTTAGCAATGTGCATGAACTGCTTATGGAAAAGTTTACAAATACAGTTAAATCTCTGTGTGGTGGGCTTTCTCACTGTTAGTAAGATTATAAGGAAATAAGAATTGAGGAAATTTTAAGAATTATCTTAATGGAATGGAATTATAATTGTATGTCTCTTTTAAAATATAGGTTATATACTTTACTGTCTTTATATATTGCATTTTGGAGGAATAACTTTGTTAAATAAATTTGAAATGAATTTGTTTTATATTGGGATAATGTCCTAAAAGTACATGTCGTTTTATGGCTAATTGTAATTAAATGACAGTTCTTAAACCTTGGGGAATATATACCACACAGAGGCTTCTTGGCCAGTTTCCAGTCTTTTGTGTGAAGTGATACAGAGCTGCATGTGTGCGACACCCAGAGCTTCTGAAATTCAGGAAGGGAGCTGCAGCTGGGCACATTACCGTCTCATTTGTGGGTTTTAAAACAAAATGCCAGAGATTCATCCTGTATCATTATTAGAATGATGGCCTAAAAGAACTCTGTGATAGCTGTACATTGATGAAGCTGGAGTTTAAATGAACGTTTTCCCCACACCTCGCTATGATTAGGAAACAAAAATATTTCTTTTTTCTGCATGAGGTATGTGTATATGTGTTATTTTCCAGGGCATTTTAGTAATTCTACTCCCATTTGTAAGTTTTCTTTGTACATAAATTTCTTGTGGTTAGACTGAATGATTTGGTTTAGAGGTAAAATATTGATATATTAGGTGTAACCTATTTGATTATTAATTATTGTGCTTGTAGTCAAATATTTTTACTTTAGCTAATGGTAAAACTTCTTTTCCATCTGCTCTATGCTCTAACGGCGTAGAGGTGTACAATTTCTCTATCCTTTCCTTTCCAAGAGTCCCTGCCCTGTCCTATCTTTACAAACCCTTTATGACATTGTCACTGAACTGACCCCATTCCCGCCTTTCAGCTCCAACTGTAGCTGGATGTAACTTCTAAACTCATAGTGCTTGGGATACTTGTAATTTCCTACTGTGTGTTAGATATTTGAAAATGTCATTGGGGACTGCAGGAACCATATGTCAGATCGTTGTATCTTCCACAGTACTTAGTGTCTGGTACAGAAAAGGCAGTATATATTAGAAAGATTGAATTATGTTACTTTCTTCCCAGAATGGGCAGGTTTATACCAAATCTGTAATACTGTGCCCTGTGATCATCTTGGGCCACAGAACACTATTCCCAAAGTAGACCTAACTCAGACATATGTGAGCTAATTTCATTTACCTCTCAAGAGGGAGACCCTTGCAGAGCAGCTCCCTTCATTTCTGATATAAAACAGGGCATCTGGAAGAGGCACATATTAAGCAAAGGGAACAACATAAAATGCGTCACTATTTGAGAAGAGGGAAAGAAACACCAAAAGGAATCATTTTGATTTGACAAAACCCACTCCTTTGATAGGTCACATCAGCTGAGCTAGAGGTAAGTGAAACTTTCAATAGCAATGAGTATCTTCCCAAGATTTTCACATAAGGGCTAGTGTTCATTTCTCTTGTTCGCTAAGTAATAGTTTCTTTCTTCCCACCCCAACTTCTCTCCTTTAGTCAATACAAATGGAACTGTATGTGGTATGCATTATTGTATCAAACAGGAGCAGATTAAAATTAGAACTCTAGGCCCATTCCCTGCTCCCCTGGACACTTTTAGGTTGGTCTCGGCCCGTTTGGAAACCAGGAAGTTGATAAATCGGTGGGACAGTCGCGAGGGACAGCGGAGCGTGAGGATGAAGCGGGTGTCGGGGCTGCTCTCCTGGACGCTGAGCAGGTCCTGTGGCTCTCGGGCCTTTTGAAGCGGGGAGCTGACCGGCAGCCACGGATCATGGAAGAGAAAGCGCTAGAGGTTTATGATTTGATTAGGACTATCCGGGACCCAGAGAAGCACAATACTTTGGAAGAACCGGAAGTGGTAACGGAAGTAGTATTGTGTGGAGGTTTAGGAAGTACAGGAAGAGGACTATTTGGTTATTATTAGGTTCGCGCCAACAGTACCTCATTGCTCTTTGGCAGCTCCTACTGGGCCGTGCTAAGAGTCAAGCTTCAGTGGTGTTTACCACTTAAACATAAGGTCTCTTTAAGGCAACGGCGCCTTCTCCGGGTCAGGTTGCCGGCGGCAACCACGGGAGCCTGGCGGACACAAGGCGGACTCGGGCCTGTTCATGGAATGTGAGGAGGGGGCGCTGGAGCCATGGCAGGAAATCATTGATGTCATTGAGGATTCTAAGTTGAAGACGATAATTCAGTGGATAAAACGACTACAGTTTCTGTGAGCCAGCAGCCAGTCTCAGCTCCAGTGCCCATCGCTCTCTATGCTTCTGTTAAGCACAGCGGGGCACAGAACAGAGACAGTACAAACCTCTTGTCAGACTAATTGTGGAGGACACTGCCGAAAGAAAGTGGTGCCGACAGAATATGTCTGAAGAACAACGATTGTCAAAACGCACCTTTGCAGCTGAAAGAAGCCGGCGTCGTCGACAGAAAAAATATGAAGAACAGTCGACAAGTACTACCAGTACTGATAGGAACTGCCTTCATAGCGAAAATGAGGTAAATGAGGATGCAGTTAGCGAACACAGTTGTGGTGGAATGTAACACATGTGGTGTTACATGTCAGTTTTGCCTGTCCCTAAATTTCTCCAACGAAATGGAGTTATTTGTTGCCTTCTCTCGAGTTCGAGGAGCGTATGACGCTAAAGTTGTAAATACTTCATCACAAGGGAAATTAGTCAAGCACTCGGAAAGTGTTTTTACTCTTAATGTGGTATACAGGGAGATATTAGAATAAGTTTAATCAATTTATCAGTCATTTTTTTATCAGTTGTTTTTATATCATGTTTTTGTTGTTTTTACATCCCATCCACTGAGCCAAACCGGTTTCGGCGTTTTTACATCTTTTTGTTTTCATGTGTCTTTGTTGTTATATCATGTTATTGTTAATTTGTTAATGAATTTATATATTATTTTCATGTATATTTTACTAATTTTCTTTCATCTCTGACACTTCTATTATAGAGAAAGGGTGAATAGCAATATTAAAATATTTCTTCTAATTTATTTCCTTTCAGTGGGCACGAATCTGTGCACCGGGCCACTAGTATTGAGATATTTACAGGTGAAATGATATGATATAGAACTTGTTTCAGAATAATATGGGCACCAGTAAGTGGGTAGAAGGTATAGATGAAACATGATTGGCTAATTATTGAAACTCAGTGATGGTACATGGGGTTCATTATAGTGTTCTATTTTTATATATATTTTAACTTTCCCATAATCAAACATTTAAATTTAAAATAGTAAGTTGCCAGTATAATTGTCATAGATAAAACTTGTTGGAATTTTTTATCTGTCAACCTCTGTAATCACTACTCTGCTGGCCTAGTAACTGTCAGGGTCTAGTCCACTATTGGGCTCTCAGTGTCTCAGAGACTGTGGGAGAAACCACTGGTGGCCCATT